GGGTATCCCTTTAAATACCTTCCCATTGTAATTTATTTGCTCCAGGGATGATGGTGTGAAATTCACACTGGAAATGCTCCTGGCTCCTGAGGAAGCTAAATTTGCCACGAGCTTCACAACCTTCTTCACAGAGATCTTTTGCTTTCAGGTCCTACCAAAACAGGTCTCTTCCTCCTCCTTTCTCCCTCTGTGAGAGATGGAACCCCAACACTTCCCAAAGGGATGTTTGCAAACATCACAACTCTCCCACCAAGGGAGGAAAATGAAGATTCAGCCACCTCAGGTGGGGTTGGGCAGGATGCCCTTCTTTCACCATGTCAGGATTTCACATCCAAAAATGGAAGTCCAGAGGCTTTGGTGTCACAGCTCTCACACAACACCTGGGTCATAGCACTTGGTGGGGAAATAGACTTTCCTTCTTCCCACAAACCAAGGAAAACACTGACAGGTCTTGATGGTAATTTGGCCCTCATTTTGATCAGACCCAGCTTCTTTGGAAATCTGCCAAGTTTTGCCAAAGAGGAGTCCAAGACAAAGCAGAGTAAGGATGTTAGGATCTGGTATGCTGTGGGGAGCCACATCAGTGATTTAAGCTGATCAAAACTGCCACTGTGGGATACAAATTCCTGTACCAAGCTGAAGGTCTGAATCCTGCACAAATTGTTTATATTTCTGTAAAAAACATGAGGCTTTTCAATGCCAGAATTGTTCATGTCATAAATGCTTGAATAAAGCAACAGCAAAAGTCTGTAAACAGAGGAAAGTGACTCCCTTTACTTCCTCTCATCAGCACGTCTGTATAAAAATCTCCTTTCCTGTTTACTGTTTGTCCTCCATATTTTCAAGTGTAAAAATTGGGGCAAAAAAAATGCTGTGTAGCAGCTGGCCCATTTAAGAAGGTGATACATATTAGTCAAGTGTTTACACAAATGGCTAAAAGTGGTGCATTATTCCCTATTTTCATTTGTAAAACATCGCTTCAGCGTGGTGGTGAACTGTGTCAACCAGGAACTTTAGCTGCTTCCTATTGGAGAAAGCCCCTCAAAGATCTTTGATGTGACAACGAAACTGGGAAATATTACTGACTCACAGCCTTTAAGCAATCAAGAAGTGATCAAAGCAGTGACTCAAGAATTCAAGGGAAAAATTACATGCTCAGGGAAATGAGGAAAGCTTATTACTGACTGATATTCAATAGAACAAGCAACTGAAAGTCTAATTTTGTGAAATATGCTTTTAATTGGTATTCACCGACTTATTGTATATTTCTTATGTAAAAAGCAGCTTTTAATTAAAAAAAAAAATTAATGGCTCAAAAGTCTAGTCATGATAGTGTGGGGTGGAAACATTTAGTCTCATTTCAACTCTGTCCAACTGCAACTTAAAATACAAGGCAGGGAGGAAGCCAGAGGTCTTCAGGGTTCACCTCTGTAACCTCAGCCTGGGAGCCATCAGCCTTGCGCAGATTTCTCCTCTGCCAGAAAGTGAAGGGTCGGTGAGGGCACCTGAGCATCATTCAGTCAAGTGCCTATACCTGCAAATTACGCAGGGATAAAGTCTGAGGGCTACTGTGTTGGCATGGTCATGCCCTAGGTCACTATCCAGCTCTGCAGGTGCCATCACAATCTCCACCCAGTGCCTCGGTGCAGCCTGGGAGATGAAGGCAAGAGAGCTAGAGGCACACTGGTTTTGGGGAGAATGAAGTGCAGCTCCCTTGAGCCACTCTGTGCCATGTGTCCCAGCCCATTGCAGCCAGTACTGGCTTTGGCTTGGGGTTTGGCATGAAGGCATGCCTGCTTTCCAGGGAGACTCAGGTGCCTACAACCTGACCATTTGGGTAAGACGGTGTGCAAAACAAAAGGCAAAGCGCTGTCCTCAAGCACAGAAGTGTGCCTGGGGAATATCCTGTCAACTGTCCAAAGGCAATAGGGTTTAGACATCCAAACACTTCAGGAAGGCTCTTACAACGCACATTAATGTGTAGTTATTTTGCTGTGCTCTCTTTTTTTTTCTAATCAGGTCAAATCACCACATTTCCTGGTTTACTACTGTGGCTGTGCCATCACTGGATTTGGGACAGGCCACGGGTGCTTGACACTTCCCAGGAGCCCAGGTGTACAGGGGGCACTAGAGTCTGACACCCAACCTGAAGACCGATGTCAAGGGGACATGTTGTGCAGCTCCACGTGGCTGAGCGTCAGTGAAACAAGGTCACACTCCAGAGAAGTTTCATTCACAGGGAGATTAGAGGTGAGATAGGGGAAATGTCTTTCACCTGATAAGCATTAGCAAATTTTTGCTTTTGCTGAAAACACCCATTTATTTTCTCACTGAACCATTCCCTCACACTAGTTGCATATAATTTCATGAACCTCGAAGACTAGCAACTAACTGGTTTTCTGACTGTCCATTGATTGGTTGTCAAGCATCTCTCCACATACAATACTTTGATTATGCCAATGATCATGTAAAAATTGAAACTGCTTGTCTTAATGTTACGTAGTATTCCCACTAGATTTTATTTTTTTAAAAGATCTCAAAGCCTGCAAAATGAGAATTGTACTTTTTTAGTGAATGCTGAGAGGATGATCCGTGCTGACAGGAATTCATTCGCTATCTGCCACAGGTAGCCCAGCATTAAGGTATAAAGCTTCAGGGCACTGAAAGGATTTGATCTAATCTTATATTATAAGAAGCATCCAACATTGTACATTCTCTTTTCCAACACAGACACTTATGTACAGCCTAAGGGCCCAATCCTGCTCCACTTTAAATCAGTTGGAGTTTTTGCCTTTGCTTCAGCAGCAGAGGGAGAGGGAGCAACTTTTGTAACAGCAGTAATGATAGCTGGTCCTTCAGTCTTTCCATCGAAATAACTCTTCAGTGGGAGAAGGCAGAAACAACAATGCTGGAAATGCTACCTGTGTAATTAGGGCTACCTGCCTCCCTGCTTTTTTTTCTGCCAGATAATTTCTCTTCCACTGGTCTTCCTTGCTAAAAATCTGAAGTTGGGTACATAGACTGGAAAGCTGGATTAAGAAAGGGACAGGCTCTTTCAGCGGAGGCCGAGATGTACGAACATCAAAAGATTCAGGGCTCTTCCATGAGTCATAAAAACAAATACATTAACTACACTAGAAGGACATAATCGTAGCATGCAAATACTCTCAATAACTAAACACTCCTTGTAAGCAGCGGATAAATTGCGCTTATTGAAACAAAGCCTGAATACAGAAGCCAATGATTGAGACTTAAGAATGCTTTTCATTTTCTTTCCCATCGTGTTAGCCAGTAAAATGCTTTTATTATATCCTATCATCACCATTTGTTCTAGCACATCGGACTTCAAACTAAGAAGATATGTTACAGATACTGTGCATAGCTGTGGAAACTGGGAAACAGGAGGACTTGGCTGAACACAGTTTTTCTCTGACTGATCTTTTCTAATATAAACATTGGAGCACTCATATGACAAACCCTGGGACTGATCCCACAGTGTTCCTGTTGGCAATCCTTTTTCTTACAAATAATGCAAGTCCTTAGAAACTGACTTCTAGCTGCTTGCGAGAAGCACACATCTCTTTTTCCATTACCTGGAACTAAAGGACTGGGGTAAAAAAATACAGAATTAAAAGAAAATGTTGACCAAAACTAAGGACTGCATCAAGTGCTTTTAATAGCTTCAAACACAGAGACAGAAATTATATGTACAAGTTTGAAGAAAACAACCCAAAAAGGTCTGTTTTCATATCATGTTACCCATTCCTGGCTGCTATAAGCAGCAGAGCCTGATCTTGCTAGGTCTTATTCATGTGGGTAATCCCTTTGACCCTAGTCATAAATACATTATTCTAGCTCAAGATAATCTCCAAGTATCAATCTGAACTGATGTCTGTGCTCTTGAACATAAATGTACATTTTCTATTTCTTCAATCTCAGAACTGCAATGCTAAGCAGGCTGTCTTAATATAATGTTTTGCTTAAAAAAAAAAAAAAAAAAAAATTCAAGCATATCCCGCGAGGTCTGACTTTTTAAAAAGAAAAAATCCAGGTGGCTCAGTTTGGAAAGAAACTTTGGATTTGTTGTAGTTCTCTTTCTGTGCGCTTTTTTTCCCAAAGGCAGACATTCATACACATATAATTCCCTCTTCTTGTCACTGGGCTTCTGGGTCAGTGAACATTCCTTTGCTGTAGTGTTTTTCAGATGAAACTCCAAGAGAAACACTGTCCTCAATGATGGGTCGGATACAGAAGAGGAGGATGGGCAAATATTCTAAGATTGGCCTGGATTCTTGCCAGGAGCAGAAGAAAAGAGCCTTTGTGTTTGGACATCTGAAGGCCAGGCATAAACATGTTAGCCGATACTTAACACCCAAAGCCAGAGCCAAAACCGTTAGACACCCTGAATAATCCTCACTAGGCCTCCTTTGGGTTTCAACTGCCCATTACAATGGGGCAGCCTCCTCCAATTACCAAATGTGTTTCTTCTAAAAACATCCTTACAGGAACTCCCAAAATAGCAGCGATTAAAAGCAAACAGCCTGTAATTCATTGACATATGCAAACCTTTTAATGTTTTGCAGGAGACAAGTTGCAACTTTTTGTACCTACAAGACTATTTATGCATTTTTAATAATTACCCTTGTATATTATGTGATACAATTCCTTTAGGCATTTAGTTAAGAGAAGCAACAGAATTCACATTCAAAAGAAACTGTTAGTTTTGCTGCAAGAAGCGCAGCTAATTTATGTAGTGAATTTTTTATACATTTTTCCCCTGATTTCTCTTCCCTGCTGTCCTCTTCCCCCTTTCTTCTTCTCTACATTAAGAAATTCCGATGTGCCTGCAGCAACATCCACTGGTGGGGAGTGTCTGCAGTGATGCCAGCCCTGACTACCCAGCAGTGGAAGCCAGGAATGTGTGCTGCTTCAGCAGTACTCTCTGTCTTATAAGCCCCATTGGGAATCGCCTTACCCTGGGGTCCTCTCTAATCACATACCTTCCGTGAGCTGGCGGGTTCCCTTGTCGCCTGACAGACAGCAATCCCGATCCCGTCAGTTCTGCACAGAAAACAGCACGAGGAAATCTTTCCTGCAGATCAAGAATAAAGATGCTTTCACAAGCAATGTGGTCCTGCAAGCTCTGACTTGTATTCAAGCTCAGATTCCCGGATTGCTTGCGTTTTGGCTAACGCCTCAGCTCTGGTTTAGGATGAGCTGATCAAAGTGCCAAGCAGAGAAACTCAGGCACAGGGCTGGGCATGGCATGCCTGCGGTTCCCACCACCAGCACAGGCACTCACAGTTTTGGGAAGGTAGTGCCTGAACTAACAGCACCACCTGTCAAAGCAGTGTAGGTTGTAGCAACAGGCAGCGCTTGACCTGCCTCGGGGATAAAATGTAAAGAGCTAGTTTCTTCCTCATCAAACAGCAGAGGACCAGATCCACAGCTGTATAGTCACATTGATCTCATACATTTATACCTGCCAAAAACCTTCTCCTCCCCCTCTTCTTATAACAACAATCAAAGAAATCTAGGTCAAATACGTTGGTGTTACTGCTGTTTGACAATGTATTTGAGGAAGGATTTTCAAGTTAGCCATTGCAGATACTATACTTAGGGAAAATGCAAATTGCTTAGCACATGTGGGTCACAGTTCTTGCACAATTGCATTTCCCCTCGGCTGCAGCAGCAGTTTGTCAAATCATGGACTTCATCTTCCCATTTTAAATTAGCAGTAGATAATTAGGAACTGCCCACAATTAAATATTGATGTTAAAAAATAAATAAATTCCATCACTTCCCTGTTTAGACAGTAAGAAGGCAGCTTTGCATCGAAAAACACAGGACACATGAGAATGTGAATAGTAAAAAGCTCATAACAAAGAAGGATAAACTCTTCTTTGTGTGCTTACAGCATTCATTTCTTTCTCTGTAACTGAGAACCTATACAAACAAATGGGATAAAAAGCCAACATATACCTTGATATCAGCTGTAATCTGCCAATTCTTCAACCAAACCTACCAGAATACAAAGAAAAGGGGCAAGGTTTACACAAGGTGCACACCAAGTCAGCTCTTGTCTCAACAAAACTGCTACTCAGCTCCAACAGCTGTAGTAGGACAAATCCAGCACTAACAAAACCACTTGCCCAGGAATAGCAGTATTTCAGGCCAGCTCCTTACTCACTCCCCGACTTCACTTGAGACTGTGACTCGCTGTGGGTGAATCATTTTATGGCTACACTAGCAGCAATATCAAGCCCTGCATCATCAAAATTCCTGGGCATCCTGCTGTGTGGGAGGGGTTGATCTTTGCCTGCAGAACACACGGTATGCACAAGGTAGTTTCAGTATCTGGAGAAAAAAACAACTGAGCAAGAAGCATCTAAGCCTGTCTCCAGTGCACATGGCAGAACCTGGACTCTGTAGGGCCATCATTCAGTCTGCAGTTGGACTCCCTGAGCCTGTGCCACAGAGGATTCTTATGTACACATGTATGTGCCCACAGCCTGCTTGCAGCCATAGGAGGAGTGGGGCTGCCAGGTGTCTGAAAATCCTAGGCAAATGTAGAAATACTCCAAATTTTTCCTGAAGTTTTCTAGGTAGGGGAAGAGAATCAACCATGGGGAACCACCTTTGTATGGCCTTATGTTCTTTGTGGAAGTCCTCTCCTGGATTTAGGTACCTCCTTTCAGATTTCCTACTTCTAAAAAGTACCTACTTCCAAAAAGTACTAAAGTACCAATATCAAAAGTACCAAAGTACCACATCCAGCTGTGTGGATGCTCACAGGAGGGCACTGGGAGACTCTGGTCTAATAGAGCACAGATATAGCTGGTCTAATATAGCACATAGAGCTATCAGATTGAAAAAAGGACTATTTCTCCCTGACCTCATCAGGAGCCCCTAGCAAAGCTCCTTTCCTGTGGCTTTACATGCCTGAATGGGGGAATGGAAATGCAATGTTGCTTCAGAGCATCACAGTGACTCTCTATTTCTAGCAAAGTTATTTTGAGAAGAAAAGAGACTTCAGGTTAAGTAAGCTGTGCCAAAATAGTTGCAGCAATTCATATAACAGTAACAATTCAGAGCAAAAGTGCAAGATCATACCTGTTCCTGCCTCTGACACTTTGTTCAACTTACATCAACAAGAGAAATCGTGGAACAGAATCACCGAACTAACATTTCTTTGACTCATTTCATGGACCAAAACTATTGTCTCAAACCCTTCTGAAAGCACAGATGCTCAGGGTACTTTGCAGCACTGTCATCCCAATCTGGGTGGATTTTCCACCACAAGGGAGAAGCCAGCCAGCCCTATCCCAGTCACTCATGCTGACCTCATCCTGGTGAGCTTGATGAGTTGACTTTGGTTAATGGACCAGACTTGCTTATAGCACCATCCCACCCACCAAAGCGTCACATTCCTCCAGAAGCCTGTGGAAATTGGACACATGACACTTTAATAGAATAGTGGACATTCATTTTGGATGGCAGCTTTCCTACATGATTCAAGAGCTATAAGGAGGTAATTATTCATGGATTTCTCTGTGTGACAAAACTATTTAGAAGGGATTGCAACACGATGAACACTACTGAGGGAGGAGTGCCCTGTTTTATTTCCACAGCTAAATGGAGTCACCACCCAGCACCATTGTAGCCTCCTTATTTCTCATTAACTGTAGCATTTCCTTTCTTGCCCTCAGAAAGCACAATGATGTAGACTGGCAGTATCTCTCCTGCCCTAATACTTCACTACAGTATATACCTTTTCTTTTGACCCTCTCTCTTGAACCAGATTTAAGCCTCTGGTAGGCTTCATGCAGATGTGGCTGCAAAAAAAAAAAAAAAAAAAAAAAGGATCATTTAGGAGACAGGCAGGAGAGTTATCAAATAAACTTTCCATTTTATTTACAGTTCAGGAGCCTTGCAGAATGACACACACTTATGGTTTGGGATCACTAGCAATTATTGTAAAGGTGAAAGCAGATACTGCAAATTTAACAAGCCTTTTGTATGAACTAATTGCATTAGAATACATTAGTAAGGGTGCACATTGTAGGTTTTATGTTTCATTGGAAAGGTCATCCTAGATTCTGGTTGAATAGTGAAAGAGAGGAAACCATATTAGCAGTGTATCCAGCAAGTGCCTTTAGGATGAATTTCCTCCAGGTCATTTGCATTATTTGATTGTAGCTGAATAGTTCTCCCTCTGCTAAGCAAGTAGGGGAAGACCTACGGTGACAATAGGGGAAATTCAAAGTCTTTGAGCCTTATTAGAAGGCTCATTTTCTGCACTCATTTTCATACACTCGTTTCCCAGAACTAGGCTAGCAGCTGTATAATCAAGACAGAAACTATACATGCCTCCTGTAAAATACAAACCTCTCAGGGAAAGCTGATGTTAGTTTTCAGGAGGCAAGAGGGTTCCTGCTTCTTCAGAGGTGTGACACCCTGCTATGCCACAACACAAAGCCCCCCTTGCCAGTCCCTCTGCAAATGATTTGTGCTGGCTGCCTGAGGGAGGGCACGCCAGGGGTGTGTGTGCCAGCAGAGAGTTCCTGAGCAGATCCAGGGCACCAACCAGGCCCTGCTTCAGCCACCTTGGGTGTCTCTAAACACTGTGTTGGGGACAGTCACTACTCCAGCTCTGCCAGCCCACAGGGCTCTGATGGTTTTGCAAACCTGGGGGTGGTGGCAGCCCTGAAGAGGCTGCAGAGCACAGAGAGGTGGTAGAAACAGAGCCAATGCTGGGGAAGGGAGAGGGAGCAGGGCAGCCCAGAGGATGCCAGAGGAACGAAGGGGTGGGGAAGCTGGGCCCAGTAAGGCACAAAGTTTTGGTTCAAATGGAAAACTCCTCTTCCCAGTTAGGTAGAACTTCCAGGCAACCATCTGCCGGTGCTGCCTCTTCCCATGGCTGCAGGATGAGGAGTAAGTGTCAGCCAGAGAAGGGCAGAGGCTGTGTCCATCCAGATATTCTTGATCTGACAGTATAAAATCTTCTGGTTACTCTGTGAATAGCCCCCAGGATTTCCAGAAGAGTGGCTGGTGTCCACTAGAGCTGTGGACTTAAACCAAGCCCTCAGAAAACCTCACTGCGTAAAAAGCAGGAGTTGGCATTACGCTACACTAAGCAGTGCCAGCAAGGCTAGAAGAGAAGCTAAATGGATGTTCCAGATTACTCTCTTCTTCCCCAAACCTCTCTCTATTGTGTAAGTGGCACAGAAAACACATCACATTGGGAGGGTGCAGTGGCATTTCCCCTGTCACCAGCCACCTTTGCTCTGAAAGGAGGTAGCTTCTACCCATCTGCCACCCCCTGAAGATGCAAAAGAGAGGAGCATATGGTTTTGAGAAAATGAAAGGTCCCAGTATCACAGCTTGGTAAAGCTATTGACTTACTGTCTGACCTCCAGCAAGACATGTGCCCTCCATCTGCCCAGCTCAGGCTGGCTGCAAGACAAGCAGAAGTGACTCTAGTGCAGAGATGCTGAGTTTGAGTTTGGCTTGTCAGAGCCACAGCAGCTGGTCACCCCTCTGATGCCGACAAGCTGCATCGAGGCCCATTTCAGCCAGCTCACAGTAGCTGGGTCTTCTCATTCCACAAATTCAAACTGGCTGTAAGGCTCCCAACAGCTTCCCAAGCCCAGGAGCACAAGGAATGCAAAACCATAGCGCAACTGCTGCACGGGCAAGCTGGGATCCCTGGGGCCCCGTTGCACCTCTTCCCCCCAGCTTCAGCTGCTGCAGCCCCACAGGCTCACTGCAGCTGCTGGGACTGCACACTTGCTCCTTGCCTACAGCTCCTTTGTATTCACACAGCCACAGCCAAGGGAGCAAATCAATCCACTCCGTATTGTGTGTCACCCCTGGCAAGGTTAAAACTTCAGTTCAGCAAGAGCCCCTGCGCATTTGGCCATGGGGACTCTTCCTGTGCCGCAGCACCGTGCTGGGGAGCAAACGTGTAGGGGAGCTCTCAGCATGCAAGGATGACTAAGCCCTGTTAGAAACCAGAAGCACCTCAGCCTTCCAGTACCTAGACAGCAAAATCTTAACATGGGAACATTAAGTATTGTCCATCCTTCACTAAAGCTGTATAAAAGCACAAACAATAATTCTTACATACTCT